TTTCATTTGCCGCTAAAGGGAAGTGGAGAAGAGAAACACAGAGAGATTAAAGAGAGTGATAACAAGACGAGGTTCGAAAGGTTTCGGAAATGGAGATTTCTCCGGCGGAAAACAACGTCGGTGACTCCGGCGAAGCTGTTCCGACAGAAGTAACGAAACACGAAGACGGAGACACTTGTCGGATTTGCCAATCACCGGAGGAACCAGATAATCAACTGAGGCATCCCTGCGCTTGTCGTGGTTCTCTCAAGTATGTCCACACAAATTGTCTCTTTCTCTGGATCAATCGCCGTAGAACCAAACATTGCGAGGTAAACAAACAAACAAACAAAACCCTTTCTTTCTGCAACGAAATTGGGGTTTTAAAAAGTTACTAAATTTTCGAATTGGGTTTCTCTAAAGTCCCTCTCTTTGACTTCTTACACTGCAGATTTGTAAGCGTAGCTACTCAATTGTTCCGGTTTATTCCGATAACGCACCAGAGAGACTTCCATGTCATGAATTCTTAATGGGAATGCTACTGAGAGCATTTCGTTTCATGAATCTGATTTTCCCTTGGGTTTTGGTGATTCCTTTCCACTCATATTGCTCTTCCTTTATTCATTGGGACAAGGGTACTGATTTAGAAGAGTTTGAACTGTCCTCGGGATTTCTTGGTCTTATTTACACCTTTAAGACTGTGTGTGACATCACCAATTTAGTTGTTTTAAGAGTGGCCATGGAAGAGCTTGTAAGGATACAACCCGAGTTGGTTAACCGTGTGGTCTTCATAGGGAATGATCTTAGGCATAGAGGTGTTACTGGAATTGTGCTGGTGTTAGTGAATTATATGCGGATTCTCTGTGATTGGTGGCATGATCAGCTCTTACAGTTATCATTCTTCCGTATCTTTGATAGGGGACCTCTCGCACTAGCTTTTGTTCCTCGAAACACGCAGCTTCATGAGCTTGGAGCCATCAGGAGATTTCTTTTCTTTCTTGATGACAACACTTTTGCTGTAAGTTTGAACTCTCTTTTGCTCCTCTGTACACCCTAAGTACTTATCTTCATGTTTCACCTTGAGTAAAAGATTCTTGTTTTCTCTCTATAGGTTTTTGCCATCAATATCTATTGGTCTTTCATCGACCTTCTTTTACCATTTTCTATTGGCCGAGCTGTCTTAGCGTTCCTACGTTGTTTTCCATACAGTTGGATATGGGAAAATGTACCTGAGATTGCTGTTGGGAATATGGTTATAGTTTTGGTGTTTTTTGCTTACCTTGGAAGCGTCTTTAATCTGCCTCGAAACATATTTTCAACCAGATTCAGATTGTTTTCACTGTCAGTTAAGGATACATTCATCTTGTGTTTTAAAATCGTCGTTCTACCTTGGTCACTTGGTTGCTGGCTAGATTTCTGCACTTTCCCTATTAGCGGAACGACAGTTTCCCAAAGGCTTGAGGTTCCTTCAGACTATCCACTCATGGCTGCCAAAAATTGGTATATAGGACTCTGTTACTTGTGTGTTGCTTTACGGTGCATGGAACTTATCCAAAAGGTAACATTTTAATTTTTGTTTCATCCTCAAGCATCATCAGATTTTCTCAGCTTGTTCGTCTTCTTCCTTTTGACAGCTGGTTCAGAAACGAGCCTTTTGGTATCTCCTAGATGTCACAGAACCAAACTACAAAATCACCAAGCTGCATCTTGGTCATATTCTCTTGGCGTTTGCTTTCCACGGGGCAGTGGTGGTGATTGTGTTTCACTTACCAATAAAGACAATCTCTCTCATCAGCCGGTCCTTTTTCCCTCTCCATGTCGGGTAAGCATCTCTGGATCTTACCACATAGTGTTTCTAATTCTCGATTCTTGAACATGTATTAAAAACACTCAAGTGATGCAGGGTCTACGAGGACGAATTTGTGGTTGGCTTACTCGGTGCTTGTTTGTGCGTAACTGTATTCGGCCCCAGGTGGTTAGTCAACTTTATTATACCATCCATCACACCCATAGTTCACGAGTGGGTTGTCACTGTCAGTTCTTGGCTCAAGTTGAGTGATTTCTTGCTTGGAGTGCCCCGAAGAGAAGGTTTTCACAATGTGAGACCGCTGTTTCGAGCATTTGGCATAGCTGAAGGCTCTATTGTCAGTTTGTATGGATCTCAGAGCGATACTACCTGTGAAAAGGATACTAACGACCAAAAAGATAAAAGGTAAGCGATATCACACATTTAATAAAGATTATTTTGGTACGAAATTTGATAAGTTGAAGTTTCAGGTTTATGCTGAGGATTGGACTGATGTTGGTTCTGGCTGCTTTGAGTATGTATCTTGTTAGTACAACCTTCATGGCTTTACCAATTTTGGTGGGAAGGGCGTTCTTCCACTCTATCTCTTTCTTCATGCTAAGTCTCGGACTTGAACATGACGGTTTGTACTTTGTTTTCTTGCTTCATACACCTTGTTTCTTTGTATTATGCTTCTAATGTTAAAAGTGTCTCTTTGCAAATCAATCTTAGATATTTGGGCTTTCTGGATTGGATTTTCTGTCTTGCGAGGAACCTATATCTTTACATGCTTTGCCTATGATCATATCGTGAGGGGAAGAACCGATGTGCTTCTCAACCATGTCTTGATGTGCATACGGAATGTCTTGTTATTCTCTATATGGGTAAGAACACTCAAAATCTTTCATTTTGAATCATCTTTTTGCCATGGAGATATATGTGTAACTTGCAAAACCTGATGAACAGATCATTGTCATACCGAGATTGGTCGGTCTACTTCTCGACCTCATGATCATCATCCCATCACGAGTTCCGCTAGACGAATCCCCGATATATAACTTGTTCCACGAGTGGTTGATCGGTGGGGTGGTCCTTCACACCTGGATCATACTGGTAAGATTAAAATTTATCATCATTATTTCGTCTATCAAGAACTCTCTTTTTCCTTGGGCAACTAGTGATTGCTTTCTATTCTCGCAGAATACGCTCACACGGAACAACCGCTTCACGACTGCGGCATGGCGAGAGAAGCTTCAGAGAGTAAGAAGCCTCGGAATCAACCGACTTCCCTTTAAGTGGCTGATTCGAGATGTTATTGGCTCGATCATAAACACACTTTTAACCAGTCTCTGCGTCCCTTACGTGGTGGTGAAGTCTCTGTTCCCGGTTCTTGGATTTTCCGGTGAAGTCAACTTAACCGTCCAGCGGTTAATTTGGCCGGCGTTCCTAGCCTTGATCGTAGTATGGTTCAGTGCCAAGCTCACTCTTGATCTCATCATTTACCTTCACCAAGTGGAATTCGATAATCGATACAAAATCGGCGAGAAGCTGGTCGATTTCATTGAAGATCTTTAGTAACACGGACCAAAACCAATGGTTATGAGTAGAGAATAGTTTTCAGTCATAGGTACATAAGTGGAATCTGTGACATGGATCCTGTTAAGTCTATGGTTATTATTTCAAAAGTGCAAACAGTAATCGATTTCTTCGTTGATTTTTATTGACGTGTAGTCAAATTTAGTGGGTCCCAACTCCCAAATGGTCAAATCAATGAAGCTCGTACACAAGAAAAGTGTGTTTTAATTTACTGTGATAAAAAAGTTAGGTTTTACAGTGGTAAATAAAGGAGCAAATTAGAAAAGTGAAATTTCTGTTTCTCTGGGCTCTATAGGCTGTCAAAAACAGTACGAAATCGTAAAAACGGAACCTGATCTCTTTTTAATTTATTTTAATTTTTGAAATATATTTGCTTCTTTAGCACATTTGAAAGTGACGACAAAAAAAAAAAAGCATTTGAAAGTGAACACTAGAGAGGGAATGAAGAGAGAAGATATTCAGAACATGGACGTTTTTCCGGCGAAGAATCGAGTCGGTGGCGACGACGAAGCTCTTCCGACGGCAGAAACTGACGAAGACGGAGATTTGTGCAGGATTTGCCGATCGCCGGAAGGACCAGACAATCCGTTGAGGTATCCGTGTGCTTGTCGAGGCTCGATCAAGTACGTTCACCAGGAATGTCTCCTTCTCTGGCTCAATCGCACCGGATACAAGCAGTGCGAGGTTTCTTCTCTTTCTCAAACTTGTTCTTCCTTCTCTGTTTTGAGTTTTCCTTTGCAACTAAATAGGGTTTTGGTTTTTGGCTTTTGGGGTTTCGCGATTTCTTCCTTGTTTCTGGAAGAATCGTGACCAAAAATACATAATCCATGTTATGGTTTTCGAAATCAATCATCTCCGTCTTCCTGGAAACGCAGGTTTGTAAGCGTAGCTACTCGTTTGTGCCTGTTTATTTGGAGAACGCACGAGAGAGGCTTCCATGGCATGAGTTTATGAGAGGACTGTTACTGAGAGCATTACGTTTGGTTGGTTGGGTTTTTGTGATTCTCTTCAACGCGTATTGCTTTTCTTTGCATCCGTCGGGACGAAAAACTGCGATTGATAACCAGAGAGCTTTTCGAATATCCGAGAAATTTGCTTTTCTCTTGGCTGGCTTCCTGTACAACGGTTTAATTGCTTATTATATGACCATGGTGGCGTTTCTAAGGCTTATTATTGAACATCTCTTTAGGCTTCTCCGTGTGAACTTTGTAGAGAATCATTTAGGACATGGAGTTGTTGCTGGAGTTACACTTGTACTGTGGAAATATATGAGCATTCTGTGTGATTGGTATCATGATCATCTCGTACAACATCGATTCTTCTACGCCTTATTGGGCGTTGAACCTGGTGAAGTAGTAGCTCGTCCTCGGCACGCCGAGCTTCATGAATTTGGAGCAGTCAGGAGGTTTCTTTTCCTTCTTGATGACAATGAATTTGCAGTAAGTCCCGATTCTCGTTTGTGAATCATACATCTTTCTATCTTAGTTATCCTTTTACTACTTGGAATATGTTAACAAGTTCTGTTTTTACAGGTTCTTGCCATTTATGTCTCATTCTTCTTCATTTTGCTTCCAGTATTTTTGGGAAAACTTGTCTTCGGACTCCTACTTCTTTTCCCACGTATGGAGGTAGCTATGCAGCTTCTTTCAGGAGACTTATTTGGCGAAGAAGAACCGGTCATTGTTGGATATATGATTATGGTATCACTTTCCTTTGCTTATCTTGGTAGTTTTTTCACTCTGCGCCGAGACTCAATTCAAGCCATAGCCAAGAGATTATCACTGGGATTTCTCCTCGTAGCAATGGCACTCCCATACTTCTTATGGATTTGTTCAGTAAAAGTATGGAAAAATCTATCTGTGGTTAAGGATGGTTTCATCTTGTGTTTGAAATTTGGTGTTTTTCCTTTGGTACTTGGCTTCTGGTTAGATTTTTGCACCTTCCCTATATTGGGAACGACAATTTCCCAGAGGCTTGAGCTTTTATCAGACTATCCCTTCGTGATGATCATACATTGGAAGCTCGGATTTCTTTGCTTGCTATTTGCTTTCAATTCCATGGAGCTTATTCATAAGGTAACAGTTTAGTTTTTTTGTTTGTTTTTTAATCTGAAAAGGACCCTATTTTTGATTAGATTTACCGCGTAATTCTTCTTTTGACAGATCATTAAGATACGACCTATTTGGTCTCTACTAGATGTCACTGATCCAAACTACAAGATCACTAAACTGCACCTTGGCCAAATTCCCTTTGCGTTAGCTTTCCACTTGTCATTGATGGTGATTGTGGTTCACTTACCAATAATGTCTATCTCTCACTTCAGCCCCTCGTTTTCCCCCCTCCAATTATGGTAAGCCTTGTATCATTTCTAGTGTCATGCTATTTCGACAATGTTTTAATATAATAAAAGCGCATACATGATGCAGGATCTATGAGAAAAGGATTATGTTTGGCTCAATGGCTGCTTATGTATGCTTAGTGAGAGTAGGAACTCTCGAGTGGTTAGCCGAGCTTATTAAACCAGCTATAGAACCCTTAGTTCACAAGTGGATTATCACTGTCAGTTCTTGGCTCGAGTTGAGCGAGTTCTTGCTCGAAAACTATGCAGACCAGAATGTGAGACCGTTGTTGCATCAAGGGTTGCAGATCCATGGCGAATGGTATCTAGTGTTTTCCATGGCTGAAGGCTCTGTAGTCACTTTCTCTGGATCTCAGAGCGATAACGATACCACGTTTCAAGTGGATTTTGACCACGATAGGTAACAGATGGCGAGCTTTTAATAAAGACAATTCATGTATAAAATTTACAGTTCTGATAAGTTGAAGTTGTAGGTTTATACTGAGGATCGGACTGATGTTGGTTCTAGCTGCGTTGAGCCTGTTTGTCATCAGTACAATCGCCATGGCTTTGCCAATTCTGATGGGAAGGGCTTTCTTCCACTCTATCTCTTTCATCATGCTACATTTCGGACTCAAACACGACGGTTTGTAACT